GCGCTGGCACTGACAGGCGGCGGCCGCGGCGCACCTTCCCCTCCCACCTGACCCGCCGCAGCCGCCACGGGCCTCAGACCACCCGCCCCGGGCTTTTTGGCACCTTCCCCGGCTCCCGGGTCCGGGCCGCCGCGCACCTCCCCTCCCGAGGCGGGAGCCCCCGCCCGGGCCCCGCGGCGGACAGGGACGCCGGCCTCGGCGGCGGAGGGGGAGCGCCGAGGGCTCCGCGATGAGCCGCGACCCCGCAGGTACGGAGAGGGCCGATTCCTCCTCCTTCCTCCCCCGGTCCCTGTCAGGGGCCGAGCGGCCGCCCTTGCCTCGCCCTGGTTTCCCCTCACGGCCGAGGCGGCGGCCGGGTCAGCGCGCCCGGGGCTGAGCCGCCGCTGGGAGCCAGCCGGCGCCGCTCCAGGCGCCAGCACCGAGGAAGAGCGAGCCGGGGAGAAAGGGGAGCCCTTCTGTCCCTCGCTCCCTGCCGCGTCCTCTGCCGCTCACCAGCCCGACGCCGCTCCTACCTATGTCACTCCCTCCCGGCGGCTCCCTGCAGGCTCTCGTCCCGCTCGGTGCCGTTCGTTTCGTTCCTCATCTAAAATGGCGGCCTCACACTCAGCGAGACATTTATCCTCCGCCCATCGACCTCTCGGCACTCGGCTCCTTCCCTCTCGCCTTCTTTTCCCGTCCTCCTCCTCCCCGCCTCTCGGCCTGACCGCGGAGCGCCGAGCTGTCGATAGAACCCGCTCCGCCCCGCGCCCCCGCCCCCTCTGCGGGCCGCCATTTTGGAGCGGCGGCGGCAGCGGCTGAGGCGGCAGCCGAGGGAGGTGAGGCGAGGCGAGGTCCTGCCCGCCGCCGCGGCTGCGTCTGCTCCTCCGCCCCTTCTTGGGTCAGCCGGCTCTGGGGGTGGGTGATGAGCCCTGCCGCTGCGTCGGGGGAGCCGGAGCGGGCCCTGCCGGGGCGACCGAGCCGCCTCCCCTCAGTCCTCCAGAGGCGCCCGCAGCGCTGCCGCCAGCCTGGCGTTACAGCCGCCTCCGTGCAGCCCCGCGCCCCCCGCTCAGCTCAGCTCAGCTCAGCCCAGCCCAACTCTCTTGCTTGCTCGACACTTAATTAAACGGGGCCCTTCGGCAATCGGTTAGCTCACGGGTGCGTGTGTGCGCACCGGCGGGGCCCCGCGGGCAGGGCCGCCCCCTCCCCGGGCCGACACCTGCCTCAGCCGCGCTGCGAGCGCAGAGCCCGTAAGTCTTACCTGTTCAAAAGCAAACCCTGTTTCTGAAGGGAACAGGCAGAAATTCCCAAGGGGCGGTACGGGCTGAGAGGGGTGGGGTGTGAACTGCTGGGAAAGGTAGCTGGGGAGACATTAAAAAAAAAAAAAAAAATAGCGTGCAACCTCTTTTCCTGGAGGAGACAGGGAACAGCTGCCAGACAGCAATCCCCTGTATGTAACTCGGCACAGCCTCCATGTAAGAGTAAAGATACTGAAGGACTCTGCTGGCTGTTAAGTTGCTGCCAGTGCACCACAAACCAACCTATTTTAGGTCAGGCTTTGAGAATGTACAGCACTGCCCGTTAAATGGTAAACAGTTAATTTATCATCCCAAAACAAAACTTCTAAGGATAGCCATTGCAAAATAAAACATTTCTCCTAGAACTGTTTTTAAAGAGCATACACGTTTGTGTTTATAGTCACATAAGTGACGTTAATTGTTAATTAAATGAGCACTTCTCTAAAAAGAGCCTCCAGCAAAATTCTCTCAGCCTTATTTGGGATTTCTATACAGAAGAAAGTTCATTCTGATATAAACCAAGGTTTGAGTTCAGCTAAAGAAACATTAAGCTCATCGAGGCATACTGAGGGCAAGAAAAAAAAGCAGCACTGTTGGGCTTGCCTCTCCTAAGTACCAAATAAGAAAAAAAAAACATACAAAGTTTTTAGCTGCTGGTGCTCTCCAGGAAGAGGTATTGTTGCCAAGTAATAGGAGATTGAAATGGGCATGGCAACCAGGAGCTCTAGAAGGCCAAAACAGAAATTTCCATGTCTCTAGAATACTGTGATTCAGTACTTTATTCTCACATGTTCTAGAATTTATCCACTTATTCCAGTGTAATAATGCCTTCAATTTAGAGGATATTGCTAAAAGAAAGATTTAACTAAACTTTTGTAGCACTCTTTTGTGAGACAAATCACGTGGAGATTTCAACTTTTCTATTGGGAAAAGTGCTTATTCTCTTCTTTTTCTCTTCCCCATTGCCATGGCTCAGACCTACCAAAAAAAACCCAGAAAAAGAAATCCAGACCAAGATGGTGTCTAGCAAAGACAAAATTTTTAAATGTGACTCATTCTTTCCAAATTCTTAAAGAGCAGCTTTCCTCTTAAATGTCACATTTAAACTGAAGGAGTCTTCTGATGCACATACACAGTTTACATGACTTTAACAGGAGTCATATCTCTTTATCTGACTGCAAGAGTTGGCCCAGGAGAAACAAATAAACTCAGAGCAGTGTGTACAATAAATATTCACATGGCTTAAAACTAAGCATATCCATGTAATATGGTAGACAGTAGTACAGATTTTTGCAAAATATGCAAAAGGAGCTTGAAACATTTAATATAAAATATAAGTAAGAACATGCCATGAGAAGCTTAAAAAGAGAAAGGGAAAGAAAATAGGGATAACCACCTCAAGAAGAGGTGGTTTTGACAGAAGACCTTTCATAAAGTTTTAAAATTCTTTTGAAAGAGTAGAAGGATCAAGGATTGTAGTCATGGAACAAATGAACACATGGAGGAAAGCAAGCCAAATTTCAGATAGTTAAACAATGTGGCACATGCAAAGAAATACAATAATTACAAGAAAAAGAAAAGCAAACAAGGAAACCAAGCAAAGAAACTCAAACATTACAGCGCTAAAGTAAAAGGGAAACAAAAATTGAACAAACTTTCCAAAATAAACTGAAAATTATTAGCATTCTTCCTGATGTTGTTCTATTTTATGTTTGTGTTTAGTGGTTGGGTTTACAATATGTTTAACATGTGAATGTCCAGGTATTAGACATTCATTTGTCCAGCCATATAATCAAATCTTACATTTTCACCATCTGAAGTGTTTTCTACCTCTATAAAAAGCAGCCTGAGGAGTGATTAGAAAGAGAATGAGAACCAGTGCCACTAGAGTTTAGAGCAGGCTGAGTTAGTGACAATAATTGTTATCTTGAGATATTAGGCAAATCTGTCTAGTGTTTGGAGAATTGGGAACTCCCTTTTATCCAGTGAGTGTGTCGCACAGGCAAAGCCATCTCAGCTTCACAGACTTCAGTTTCCTCATAGTTAAAAATGGGATAGATGATTCTAAGTGGCCGTCTTTGAGAAGAGTTTTACTCTTGACTGCTGAAAAGAAGTGTGTAAAAGTTAAACCTATTACTTATTTGTTTTGGTTCAGTTTGCTATGTGCAATATTCATGTATTCCCAGTCTACTTAAGTGCGATTACTTGGGGAGTCTCAAAAAATATAAAATGTTTTAAGTGGTATCATATAACCTCAACTGTATCTTTAGTACATAAAATACCTGTAAGCCTCAGAAGAATGAGTAGCAAGAATTAGCAGTGTAATGATGGCTGGGAAAAAGAAGAAATGTATATACACATTTTATTATGGAATTTTGGGTATCACATCTTACTCCCTTACTTCTCAAGCCAAGGACTGCTGTAGACAAACTTTGCCATTTTATCCAGGGTTATTCAATCTGAGCCACATTCAGAGCATTGTACTTCTGCATGTTATTTTGATATATGCTATAAATTATTCTCTTATTACCCCATAAATTTTTTTTTTTTTTTTGAGTAAGAGAACACTGCTTAGGAAAAATTTAAGTCAAGTTAGAAACAAAAGAAGTCCAATGTACAGAGGCCATGAAGAAGGTGGCCTTGAACAAGTCAAGCAATAGCAACCTAAAAGCTAAGTACTCCAGATAAGGAATATGTTATTTGTATGATGATGCATAAACTATTTTTATTTTATAGTTCAGCTGATAGACTTTATTATTTCCCCATGTCACTGACTTGATCAAAGAAGAGGGGTGGGAATGTAATTTATAGTTTGTTTTTTTTCATGCATTGTAGAATTTAAATTGCATACATTACTTCAGAACAACAGGACATCTTATATATGAAGCTGTTAACAAAGCAGTGAACTTGTTTTGCTGGAATGGAAATGGTAGCACAGTCTGTTCACATTAATTATTTTTTTTATTTTATCCTGGACAAACTCTTAACTTTTTATGTTATCCATATACAACTAAATGTGGTTGCTACTGGGCTGGCTACGCTGCATGCCTTTCTCCACTCTGTTCAGCATCTCTTCAGCCAAATAGTGAAGCTAAATCTTGGGGGTCTTTCTCTTCCGTATGAAAATAACACTGACTTCCCATAGGCGCAACACAAAAGACACCTCCTTCCAAAAGCTTTGGTCTTTATCATCAGTCATAGATTAAGCATGTGGTGACTTCCATTGCTTCCCTGGAAAGGCTGGATTCTGGAAGCAGATCCATTTAAGTAATTACTACACTCAGAAAACTCAGGGGAAGTCAGTCAGGCTATGAGACAGGGTTGTGTAGGCTTGTGTATCTGCAGGTTCTAACCCCCAAGGATCTCCTTCAGTAAATCTTCATCTCGGTGTAAAGTCAAGTCATGTACTTCATGATACAGAATGGACTGTCTGATACAAACCTCATAGATACTGAAGTGTGAAGTAAGAACAGCATATATTTTTAAATTCACTTTAGTTTATTTACTTCCAGGGTCAAGCCAATTTAAGTGCTTTAAGACAGTTACCAAGAGCTGTCATGCAAAGTTTCTTTTGTTAAGTTTTACAGACGCACACACCTTGTGAGACACACTGCCTGAGGTAAATATGTTGTGCCATAGTTGCCTCCACAATACTGCAAACAAGTTCTGCCTTATGTGTCGACCACTTCATTCTGTATATAAATTTAAGTTAGTATCTTCATTTTTTCCTTTCTTTCTTCTTTTTTACTGCTTTAACACTTTGATTTAAGAGACATGTTTATCTAAAAAACATACAATTCCTTGTAATGTCAAGGACTATTATCCTCTGCAGATTTGTATATTCTTCCAGAATCAATTCCATCTCTAATACTAAAATCCATTTATTAGGTATTCGTACTTACATGGTTCTTGGGTTGTCCTTATATAAACTTAACAATAAAAATATTTGATGTAAACATCAATTGCAATAGATTTTCAATACAAGTTTGTGTGGGAACAGTTCAGAGTAAAATTGAAACAGATTTTTGTTAAGCCTTGCAGTAATATATAAATTATTCTGAGAGCAGCTCTATAAACAGTAAATAATAATCCCTTACCGAAAAAAAGTTGTATTAGCCTTTCTTCACTGATAATCTTACACAAAACACTCTTAAAGTTCTCAACAAACTCTCTACCAGTTTTCAGTCCTCCATATGCTCCTACTGTAATTTATGGTATTATAGATATCCAGTGTCTCTGGGCTTGTTATGTGGAGTGCAGCAGAGAATTTCTGGTTCTCCAATTTCAGTGCAATGCAATTTGCTTCTAGGAAAATTCGGAGGCACTGCACTACCCCATCCAGTTCTCTCAGACTCTTCTCCAGACAGGGTGAGTTAAGTTGCTTTCCTGAAC